ACCATGTAGATTTCCCTGTCTTGGGCTGTGCCGCATCACTGCCCTGGTGCCAGCCCATTGCCCCAGAGCTCTGAACCACCTCCAAGTCATTTACTGAATCTGTAACTTTTTTTTTTTAAATGCTTGGTAGTTTAGTTTTCTTTCTTTTTCTCCTTCCTTCTTCCCCTCTGTTCCCTCCCTCCCTCCTTTCCTTGTGAAGACTAATTTATGAATTCCTGCTAGAATCAGGTAGTCTTTCTCACTCTATGGGATCTTATTAGCTATCTAAGGTAGGATTGGAAATCATGATCCCGTGTTCTCTTAGGCCACTCTAGATTGGGCTGCTACTGGAAAGTACCAGTAATAGCAGGTTATTTTGAGCTGAATTTTCCTACCTGTTATATTCTGGGAGATTTCCTTTTTGTTGCAGCTAAATCTGTGTTTCCTTGGGGGCAGTTGCTGCTTCAGGTCTTTAAATTGGCTGGAGTCTTCTGTATTGTTATTTCTGTGTGTCTCATCTTGCTCATGGTACCGCTTGCCCTGGTTTTGATTTGTTGCCTGATGCCTCAACAAGCTTTTGTTTTGTTTGACTTTTATTTATTTGTCTATTCAGAAGAATAAAGACTGTATAGAAACATGAGCTGCCCTCAGCTAACCAGTATAAGATCATCTTGAGTGCCCATTACTAATGCTGTTGATTAGTGATCAAACCACTTTCTCCTATTATAATTTGGGTTTGAAATGGCAATGTTGTATTCATTTTTAAACCATTAAAACTAAATTGGTCAGGGTACCTGTGGGAACAGTTGGTGAAAATTGCCGTAAAGTGGTAAAGGCATGATATTGAATCTTGTGGAGTGGATTTTTCTATATCAAGAGGTTTTTAAAAAATCAGTGCAAGGAATTCATTGTGATTTATGTTGAGAGAAATCTGAAAAACAGATGCTAACAGCTTTTAATCTGACTGAACTATGAAAAGTTTAAATTTGATTTTTTTTTTTTTTTTTTTTTTTTTTGAGATGAAATCTCACTCTGTTGCCCAAGCTGGAGTGTAGTGCTGAGATCTCGGCTCACTGCAACCTCCACCTCCCGGATTCAAGCTATTCTCCTGCCTTAGCCTCCCGAGTAGCTGGGACTTCAGGCATGTGCCACCATGCCCGGCTAATTTTTTTGTATTTTTAATAGATGGGGTTTCACTATGTTGGCCAGGCTGGTCTTGAACTCCTGACCTCGTGATCTGCCCTCCCAAAGTGCCAGGATTACAGGTGTGAGCGACCACGCCTGGCTAAGTTTGATTTTTAACAACATAACATTCAGCAGAGAGTTTGTATCTCATTGTAACTTCAGTCTGTTCTCAGGCACATGTGAATATATTTTTATTGCCAGTTTTCATTTGTGCAGGAACTTTAAAAATCATGTTAAAAGCAAAGTTATATAAATGGGTACTTTTCTTTCATAATTTGGTGATTTTTTTTTAACCATTTTACCTTCAAGTGGCATGCTCGCTGCCATTCCAAATGACATCTGGGAGGATTTTCTTCACTTTGTTCTCTTTTTACACTTCCTAGTTAATATTTCACAGCAGTTCATTTAAGGATGCCTCTCAGAGGTTGAGCAGCTTCTATGGAATAATCAGGGAAGTGTTCATTTCATTTTACTATTCAGGATATTATTTATTGATCATCGTTATTGATCATCGTTGGTGTGTAGAAATGTGGACAGTAGCTGAACATTTCACCATATTTGGGATTCTAAGGTGATAAGTATGTCACTCAAGGAACTGTGGTGCTGGGAAGAGGGTGTCTTGCTCATCTGTTAATCACTTGGTGTAGTATCCTAAACTTTCTTCTCCTCTACTTTTTGCACGTTTTGGAATGTTAAGCATTATTTGTTAGCACCTTAGAGAATGATTAGCAGCTTAGAAAAAATGTAGAACTCTGATCATTTTGCTTTTCCCCCCACCCTTTGGGACAGTACTGAGGAAAGTATTGGTGGGGGGCGGGGTTGAATTTGGATTGTTTGTTGTTCAGTAAAGAGTAACTGGGAGTTGGAGTTGGTTATGACTTTTCTTAAAAAGGGGAAATTCTTGGTCCATGTGTGCTTGTAATGTATCATCCAGCATTCATTATTTCTGTTCTTACAAGTAAATGGTCAAAACTGAAGCTAAAAGAAATCTCTTTGTGTCTAATCTCTTTAGCAGGAGGAGCAATCTCAGAACTGTTATGAAGACCCTCGAAGTTCTTCATTCTCTCCCACTTTGCCATCATGTGGTTTCTGGACACTGTGGTCAGTCATTTGAAAATTGACTTTAATTTAAAACAAAGGCCTGTGCCTCCCACCCAGGAGGTGGAAGGAGTGAATTTTATGTTTAAATGAAGAAGTGAATTATTGAAGAAGAGTATACGTCCCTTCCTTTCCCTTTCAAGCATCAGTCCAAATAGGTTCTCAGGAATGAAGATTTGTGAAGACATCAGATAGGAATTTTGACTCATTTAAACTTTGATGCTTAGTTATGTTGCTGGAGGAAAGATACCTATGTTTTGCTCATCTAACTTTATTGTACCCAGCGTCGTTTTGACATGCCATTTCCTATCTCCCATTTGCCTTCTGTCCTCAATGCATGTCCTCGAGTGACTTCGTATCCGAAATTTTGCTACTGGTATCCTAGGAAAACTTTTGTTGCATACTTTCATTTTAAACTTATCCTCTCCCCAGATACTTCCTCTGTTTCCATATTGTGTGCAAAGGATGGGCAGAAAAGAAAGTGCTTCAAAGATTTCAAATTTTCAGAAAGGGAACAATGAAGGCCCTCTCTTCCTACCATACCACATTTTGCTCAAGAAGCTGGGCTGTAACAATTCAGGGTTTTCCCTTGTTTTCCTCTCGTTGCCTCTTTCCCTCCAATATTGGTTGACTGTCATTAATCATGGTTTTTGAAGATAGCTAGTTTTATCCATCTCCAGCAAAGAATCATCAGTAGTTTATATTGCTTTACCTGCGCTGGCTTCCAGAGATGGAAACAAACCAAGGTGTCTCTCAACAAGCTACTTTTTTACTGGGGTTGGGGTATCTATGCAAGGAGTAAAGTAAAACCGTCCAGAATCAAAGCAGCAACAGCATAGTTCAAAGATCAAGGTGAATTTTTTTTATCACTTCCTGTGGAAATCTGTCCTCATCGGTCATTGTATTTTTCCCTTCCTATACCTATGCTCCTTTTTCTTACTGTGTTTTCAGTCACTTCCTTTCTGTGAAAGGTTGCTTAGCTTTTTTTTTTTTTTTTGACATTTGTTGTTCTTTATATAAAAATAGCAGATTGGATAGATGTATACATTAGGTGTTTGAAATTCTCTGAAAATCCTGTCAGGAAACCAGGTGTGGAAAGGGCCCAGTAGCTTCTCTGAGTGGAGTTTATAGCTGACTGGAAGTGCTTAACCTGGATCGTCTTTTTTATTTTTTTTCCCCAGTATTTTAAGAGGAGAATTTAAATACTGTGCTTACTGTGAAATATATCAGTTGGTGGGCTGGGCGCGGTGGCTTCACGCCTGTAATCCCAGCACTTTGGGAGGCTGAGGTGGGTGGATCACTTGAGGTCAGGAGTTTGAGACCAGCCTGGCCAACTTGGTGAAACCCTGTCTCTACTAAAAATATAAAAATTAGCTGGGTGTGGTGGCGCATACCTGTAATCCCAGCTACTTTGGAGGCTGAGGCAGGAGAATCACTTGAACCCGGGAGGCAGAGGTTGCAGTGAGCCAAGATCACACCACTACCCTCTAGCCTAGGTGATAGAATGAGACTCCATCTCAAAAAAAAATAATAATAATAAAGAAATATATCAGTTGGTGGATGCTCCTATAGGTAGCCAAACACATTGATTACCTTTTAGATTTTAGCATAGAAATCAAATTAGAGCACATCAGTAAGAGCCTCTTTGTCCTACTCCATCATTTAGAATCAGTATATTCAGTAGTTGAAGAGAGAGCTCTTCCTGAGTCAGTTGCAAAATGTCTATATTTTTAGATGCTGCTACTTTTTTTTCTTAAATACCCATTTTGAGACTGTCATGAGTTAGGCCAGTGGTTGAGATGGGTAGGGGGCTCACTAGACATGTTTTTGTTTTGCAGACATTGTATCCATTCCAGTCCTCTGCACTGTACACTGCAGCAGTGTGCAAACTATGGGACTTAGAAGGTTTCTGCCGTATTTCCATGTGTGAAGTAGCTTGGTTTCCTCTGCCTGGGCATTTGGATGTTTGTGCTCTGTCCACCTCCTAAACTGGCTACCGAGAAAATCTTCAGCCCTGTCAGATTGTCTTTGACAGTAGCTCCTAATAATTATTTATGCTGTCGGAATTTTTTTTCAACTTTTAAAACCTTCTATCCATTTCAGTTTGAATTTCTTGATTTGTACAATATATGTATATTCTCTTCTTCCTTTTTGTCATCCCTGCCCTGCCACTCCCAACATTTTGTTTTTAAAAATATTCTGGGCTGTGCTCGATGATTCACGCCTGTAGTCCCAGCACTTTGGGAAGCCGAGGCAGGTGGATCACCTGAGGTCAGGTGTTCGAGATCGGCCTGGTCAACATGGTGAAAAGCCATCTGTACTAAAAATACAAAAATTAGCTGGGTGTGGTGGTGGGTGCCTGTAATCCCAGCTACTCGGGAGGCTGAAGCAGGAGAATTGCTTGAACCCGGGAGGCAGAGATTGCAGTGAGCCGAGATCGTGCCACTGCACTCCAGCCTGGGCGACAGAGCAAGACTCCGTCTCAAAAAAAAAAAAAAAAAAAAAAATCTGTAGTTTTGTACAAGATGAGACTTAGCCTTGGGTACTTCTTGCTGAAGCTTTAATGCTTTGTAAATAAAATTGGATGTTTATTAAAGAACAGGTGTAGATGTTTATTTGTAAACACTGCTCACTTCTGAAACTCACTGGCTACTTTGCTTTAGTACAAAGGAAAAAGTGCTTTCCTGTGCTGATATTTGATCTTTCGGTGTGGAAAGATAGATGTAGAAGGAGTAGGGAGTGGAGGACAAGTCCATTTCTGCCTCTCGATGAGATTATAAATAAATAATGCAAGCAGAAAAGTTGTTGATCGAAGAGATCGTCTAGGAATGATATCTGTCTTCCAATTCTATAACTCAGTAGAGTTTTGTAATTACTCTGAAGAGCCCATAGGGCTAGGCATTCTGGAGGTTACAAAAATGCATGCTAGGAAGTTCCTGCCTTCCAAGGATCTTTCTTCAAGTCTAAGTAAGTATGGTTAAATTCCTTTTAGCCTTTTTTAATTTTTTTAATGAAGTAGCTTTAAAATTCATTAAATGCTTATTGTCTCCTAAAGATAAGAAGTTTCACAAAGTCTGTTTAAGTCTTTGATTTTAATGTCAAGCGTGAGTGTCTACTTATTAATCTTTTATGTGACTGAGAACTCCATCTTTGACATCATAGCTGTTTCATAGCAACCTTGACCTAAGTGAGTGATGAGCTCTGTTCTGTAGGGTAGAGGGAGTAGTAGGCCAAGAGTCAGGGAGCATCGTGCATCCTCTCACCCAAAATACATCTTCAGTATCCTTGGGAAGAAAGAGTGCCTAAAAGGGGGAGAGGAGCTGCCTTTAATGTAACCTTAAACATTCTGATTTGAAAAGGTCATCCTGGCCCTTGTCTTTATGAATTTCCATTTCTGTTTAAAATTCCTTACACATTGAACAGTGTTTCACACTTTACAAAGTGCTTTCACATACAGTATATCGTTCGATGCTCTAAGTGACCTTCCTCAGATAGGCAAGGAAGTCTATACAAAGGAGGAAACAAATTCAAGAAGGGTAAGTTACTTGCCTCCCAGTCCAGAGTTCTTAATCCTTTTTATAGGAGGTTTAGGAGCGTTAAAGTCAATAATTCAAGTTAATCTTCCTTTTTGTAGACTTTAGTATTTGTTTTATTTGATGACATTTAACTGGAGCTTTTGAAACCCTTAATTTAGATCCTAGTTTATAGAGGGCAAGGGTAATGGGTGAGGAAGAGTAACTTCACTGTACATTTGAGGTAATTTGGAAATTCCCCTCTGTTTCTGAAGTCTTTTCTTCCTTGTCTTCCCAAGAGGTGGATTTAAAGTCATTAAACGAACATGGAAAGGGCCAGGTGCAGTGGCTCACGCCTGTAATCCCAACACTTTGGGAGGCTGAGGTGGGTGAAATTGCGTGAACCCAGGAGTTGGAGACAAGGGCGAAACATGGTGAAACCCCGTATCTATAAAAAATACAAAAATTAGCTGGGCATGGTAGCCTACATTGTAGTCCCAGCTACCCAGGAGGCTGAGGTGGGAGGATTGCTTGAGCCTAGGAGGTTGAGGCTGCAGTAAGCTGTGATCATGCCACTGCACTCTAGCCTGGGTTGACAGAGTGCGACCCTGTCTCGAAAAAAAAAAAAAAAGAGAGAAAAGAATGAAGACTTGTCAGGTGGTTATTAATAACGATAGATAGTAAAGCAACACCATTGTGATTTTTTTCCTGCCTTGTGGCCTCACCTGTTAATAAGGACTGGACTTTTATTTATTAAATTGTGTTGTTTTATTGACAATACATGCATCATATCTTTTGACTTTGAAGGATATCTCATGTCAAAGGAATCAACTTATGATACTATAGAGGATTCAGCGGGAATCCCTTGGGGGCGCTAGCTGAGGGTGGCAAAATGGCTGCTGAGACATGAAGGCTTTGGCCGCTAGTTTCGCCCTTGGGAGCCTGGGGTTGGCCTTCTACTTGCCTTTGGTGGCAACTACACCTAAAACACTGGCCATCCCTGAGAAGCTTCAGGAAGCTGTGGGGAAAGTTATCATCAATGCCACAACCTGTACTGTCACCTGTGGCCTGGGCTATAAGGAGGAGACTGTCTGTGAGGTGGGCCCTGATGGAGTGAGAAGGAAATGTCAGACTCAGCGCTTGGAATGTCTGACCAACTGGATCTGTGGGATGCTTCATTTCACCATTCTCATTGGCAAGGAATTTGAGCTTAGCTGTCTGAGTTCAGACATCCTGGAGATTGGACAGGAAGCTTTCCGGTTCACCTGGAGACTTGCTCGCGGTATCATCTCAACTGACGATGAGCTCTTCAAACCTTTCCGAGCCAACTCCCACTTTTTGAAGTTTAAATATGCTCAGGAGTATGACTCTGGGACATATCGATGTGATGTGCAGCTGTTAAAAAACTTAAGACTTGTCAAGAGGCTCTATTTTGGGCTGAGGGTCCTTCCTCCTAACTTGGTGAACCTGAATTTCCATCAGTCACTTACTGAGGATCAGAAGTTAATAGATGTGGGATTGGAAGTTAATCTGGACAACTACTACAAGCCTCACCACCCAGAGTGGAAAAAGAAGGTGGCGTCAGCCTTGGGAATAGGAATTGCCAGTGGAGTGGTTGGTGGTGTGTTGGTGAGGATTGTCCTCTGTGTGCTGAGGGGGGGCCTGCAGCAGTGACACGTCCTCAAGAGCTTAACAGCCTTGCCCCTGAAGGACTGGCTGCCCAGGAAGCCAAGCTAGCTTTTTAGGGGAGTGTTCCAGCTGTTATTAGTGGATCAGCTAAGAGGCAAGGCTCCCACAGCCAAAAGAATGAGTGGGAGAAGTAGAGGGGACAACTTGGCAGCTATGGGCAGCAAGCTAACTTCCTTATATCCTGTGGATCTCCTCCTGATCGTCCCTGCCCATTGGGTACCCGGGAAACTGCAAGCATTGCCTATGTTCCTGGGAAGAGTTCTAAGACGCGTGCATTCATTTTCTACCCTTTATATCTTGGATGGCTCCCCACCTCCATTTCGCCTCTTCTGAGCTGTGTATTCACGTAGAGAGATGTATTCAGCTTTTCTAGTGAACATTTTTTCCTTCAATAAAAGTAATTCACAGTAGCTGTATGGAAACCTAACTTTTTCTTTTCTGGTTTTTAGTTTCTTGTATTTGTTTAAATTGTCCCATAATCAGTCCGGCTTCATTTTCCTCAGGCTTCTTAGAATAGACATTAAACCAACTGTCTGCTCTTGGGGACAGAGGATGCAGCGCTTAAGCCTATGGCAGGGGTTGTTAGTAGTGACATCCATCTCAGGTGTGTAACAGTCACTAAATGTTAACAAATTGCCTGATCTGCCCAGGCAAACCCACTGTTTGGTATTAAATTGAATTTCTTGGCAAAACGTTGGATCCCTCACCTGGTAGGTTTCCCCTTATCATTCTGACAGCACCTTGGCTTGCGTCCGCTCTAATCAGGGCTTTCATTGCCCTGAAGCCTGTATTCCTGGGAAGGTCAAGTGTTGGTTTCTTACAGCAGCCAAGGCCCCCAAGGGAGGATTAGTACTTTCATTCCTCCATAGGAAATCTGGTCTTAAGACTCTGAGGCCATTCGGACTGTGTCTGAGATAATTGGTTTGTCGAACCATCAGAGAAAAGCCTCTTGGCCACCAGCCGAGCTAATTCTACTGAGAGAATTACAGCATTTCTTCATCTCACTTTTCTCTGGCTACAGAAGGATGTAGCAGAAACCAAAGACCAATGATCCTCTAGATGTGTGTCAGAATCATCTGGATGACCTTGTGAAAAATAAAGGTTCTTGAGCTCTAATCCGGAAAATGCTAATTCAGTTGAAATTATAGTCAAAGGATCTCTATTGTTTCCGTTACTTTTAACTTGTAAAAATTTCAGACCCATAGAAAAGCTGAAAGAAATATTTGATTACCATCCATAGACCCTTTACCAAAATTCACCAGATAATAACATTTTGTCACAATTACCTTTCTCAGTATAGATTGATTTTGCTAAACCACTTGAAAGCTGGTCATAGACACTGTAACTCTTTACTCTTTTTTTTTTTTTTTTCTGAGATGGAGTTTGGCTCTTGTTGCCCAGGCTGTAGTGCAATGGCATGATCTTGGCACATTGCAGCCTCTGCCTCCTGGGTTCAAGCAGTTCTCCTGTCTCAGCTTCCCAAGTAGCTGGGATTACAGGCACGCACCACCATGCCTAGCTAATTTTGTATTTTTAGTAGAGACAGGGTTTCACCACGTTGGCCAGGATGGTCTCAATCTGACATCATGATCCGCCTGCCTCAGCCTCCCAAGGTGCTGGGATTACAGGCGTGAGCCACTGCACCCGGCCTGCAGCTCTTTCCTCTTAAACCATGTATGCATCCCCTAATAAGGGTATTCTCTGTAACCACAATAACTTTATCACACTAAGAAAATTAACTTTTTTTTTTTTTTGACGGAGTTTTGCTCTTGTCGCCCAGGTTGGAGTCAGTGGTACGGTCTCAACTCACTGCAGCCTCTGCCTCCCAGGTTCAAGTGATCCTCCTGCTTCAGCCTCCTGGGTAGCTAGGATTATAGGCACCAGCCACCACGCCCAGAAAATTTTTAAATATTTTTAGTAGAGACAGGGTTTTGTCATATTGGCCAGGCTGACCTCAAACTCTGAGCTCAGATGATCCACCTGCCTCAGCCTCCCAAAGTGCTGGGATTACAGGCGTGAGCCACCGCACCCAGCCAAAAATGAACAATTTCTTAATCTTACATATAACTTAAACAAGTTGAGCATTCCGAATATGAAAACCTGAAATCTGTAATGCTCCAAAACTTGAAACTTGATATGAGTACCAACGTGGTGCTCAAAGGATTGCTTATTGGAGGAGCCTAGATTTTGGATTTCTTAGATTTGGGATGCTCAATCTGTAAGTGTAATGCAAAGATGCAAAAATCTGAGAAAATCTGAAATCAGAAATATTTCTGGTCCTACGCATTTTGGATAAGGGATACTCAACTTGTATTCAGTTTTCCCCAATATCCAAAATCTTAACAGCATTTTAATTTTTGATCCAGAGTCAAAGGTTCATGGGTTATATTTCTCTTAAGTGTCTTATTTTACAACAGACCCCACCCCCCCACACACATTCCTTTGTCTTTCATGACATTGATCTTATTGAATAATTTAGCTAGTACAGTTGACTTGGATAAGGTTCCATAATTTATATTTGCCATTTCCTCATGATTCATGAGGAACACATCTTAAATTTGACTATGTAGATATGTACTTACTGCATCACATTACAAGGCTCATGTTAAAGGCCCACATTTTTCTTTTTAGAGACAAGAGTCTCACTGTCGCCCAGGCTGGAGTGCAGTGGCTCAATCTCAGCTCACTGTAATCTCTGCCTCCTGGGTTCAAGTGATTCTCGTGCCTCAGCCTCTTGAGTAGCGGGGACTACAGGTGTGTGCCACCATGCCTGGCTAATTTTTATATTTTTAATAGAGGCAGGGTTTTGCCATGTTGGCCTGGCTGGTTTCAAACTCCTGATCTCAGGTGATCCATCTGCCTTGGCCTCTCAAAGTTCTGGAATTACAGGCATGAGCCACTATTGATAATAAGCTTGATCATTTGGTTAAGGTGGTGATGGTCAGATCTCTCCACGATGTGTGTGTATTTTCCCATTTATAATTCATAGACTGTGGGCTAATACTTTATATGGCTCTCTGAAAACTGTTACTTATTTCGGCATCCATTGTTTTTGCCTTGTTCATCGTTAACATGTTGGGGACTGCAAACTGGCAATTCTTTATGTTCATCTTATCTATATTAGCCTGCATCTCTCTCTCTGTCTGTCTTTTTTTTTTTTATCAGCAGTGTGAAATAGCCTGCATTTCTCTAAAGAAGAGCTTGCCCTTTTTGCCTTCTTTTTATTTTGAGGTCTCAATAGATTCTTTTTATTCAGTGAACTATATATAATCCATTTTTTCTCTTTAATTTTTTAGGTTTAGGAGTACATGTGCAGGATTGTTGCATAGGTAAACTGTATGTCATGGGGGTTTTGTGTACAGATTATCATTTTTTTGATGTTCAAATTGTCCCCAATTTTGGCCAGTAGGAGTCCCCTCAGGCAAGCTCTTTTGCCCTTTTGCTGTGGTTCTAGTACAACACAGTATCTCAGGTTCACATTTGGACTCTCCTTACCTCACCCCTGAATCTGCTGTTTCTCCAAGGAGCGCTGGTTCCTCTTAGTGTGGGGAGTAGCATTGAGAAACCAAGATCTACATGTTGAGTGTGCTCATTGCTATTGGGAGTCATTGCTCCTAGGCTTTCAGTGTCCTAGATGTGTATTGATCATGAGTTCAGAGCATCTGCATTGTTTAAGGTTGTGACGTGGTTCTGATACACAGCTAAGGTTGAGAACCACTGACTGAAGCCCACCCAGGCATAGGGAGTAATTTTACTATTGCTCTTATTATTTTGAGACAGAATCTCTGTTGCCCAGGCTGGAGTGCAGTGGTGCGATCTAGGCTCATAGCAACCTCTGCCTCCGGGTTCAAGCGATTCTCCTGCCTCAGCCTCTCAAGTAGCTGGGACTACAGGCACGCGCCACCACACCCGGCTAATTTTTTGTATTTTAGTAGAGATGGGGTTTCACCACATTGGCCAGGATGGTCTTGATCTCCTGACCTTGTGATCTATCCGCTTCAGCCTCCTAAAGTGCTGGGATTACAGGCATGAGCCACTGCGCCTGGCCCTATTGTCTTATTTTTAAAAATATCTTAAATTTTACACACACCCTTTCCCCCATTCTACCTACCTCAGAGGGGATGGATTTCAGAAGATCTGGGTTCTGGTCCTGGTTCTGCTATTGATGGTGTACGGGAGCAAGCTACCTGACATCATCATTGAAATAGGTGATTGTGAGGATCCAGTGAGATCCTGTGAACTGAAGTACTGGACATGAGTTCAGGAGTATTACTGATGATGCATTCAGGATGGGACAACCCGCTGAGACATTCAGGAGATAGCTCGTGTACTTGAAGCAAGCAATCTTGACGTTAGAAGGCCATAAAACAATGTCCTACTTGATAGGTAATGAACTCACCATGACATTGCTGAGGAGGGAGGAGGACTGAGGGGTACTATGTCCCGTTTTCCAAATGGAGAGACTGAGACCCAAGAAGAGCTAAATAACTTTTCGTTGCAGCCAGTAGTCAAGCATGGAATGGACTATTGCACAGCTGTGGCATTATAACCCTCTGTGCATTGGGCTCTTGAGTTTTGACTCTAAGGATGTGAAGGGATTGAGCAGAGAAGAGAACAAAAGATGTCCAGTTGTGTTAGTAAAGCAAAACCTGTTGAATTCTGTGCAAGTATTCTACCTCTGCAGGGTCAAGGAGATGCTGACTGGACTAATATTTGGATTTTCGATTGGCCAGTGTTCCCACATGCCCTCTGGGGGCAAAGTGGAAGGGATGACCCTTTTGCGATATCATACTGGTGTCCGTATGGATCCCTTCTGGAGGCTTGCTGTCAGCCTGGGCTTCCAGGGACACAGCTAAGCACTGAGTACTGGGGCCTTCAATCACCATCTCCCTCTCCCTGAAAAAAGCTGGGGGCATAGCCAGCATGGGGCCCTACTTGCTTTGCACTGAAAGACAAAACCCAGAGCTGTGGAAGTGTGTCTCCACACACATCTTCATCGCACGGTGGGTCATGCCTGTAATCCCAGTACTTTGAGAGGCCAGGGTGGGTAGATTGCCTAAGGTCAGGAGTTTGAGACCAGCCTGGCCAACATGGTGAAACCCTGTCTCTACTAAACTAGCTTACAAAAATTAGCTAGGTGTGAGGGCATGCACCTGTAATCCCAACTATTCTGGAGGCTGAGGCAGGGGAATCTCTTGAACCCAGGAGGTGGAGGTTGC